TCTTTCTTTCTTTCTTTCTTTCTTTCTTTCTTTCTTTCTTTCTTTCTTTCTTTCTTTCTTTCTCTCTCTCTCTCTCTCTCTCTCTTCTTCTCTTCTCTTCCAATGATTACTGTACCAATGAGCAGTTGTGTATTTCAGAAAGCAGTGAAAGTGACTCTAGTGACACTAGATCCACAATTATTTTGAGGAAGCACCAGAGACAAAAGCCGACCTTTGGAGAGAAAAAGTGAGAGAAAAATAAAATTGCGAAGAGCTGAATTTATCCTTTTGCTAGACAGGTAGACATGTGCTATTGTATACATGTATACAATATAAATATATTTATATAATTATATATTATAAATTTATAAACAGTAGACCTGTGCTATTGTAGTTCAAGCAGGCAATGGTGATCAAAGCAGGAAAGCATAAATAATCAATAGTCACAAACCTTAAATTACTCAGAATAGTTCAAAGTTGAATGGAGTGTCGGTCCTGCCTTACCAATACAGAACACAGAATAATATGGTTGGAAGGGACTTTGAAGGTCTTCCAGTCCAACCCCCAGCTCAAATAGGAGGCCCTATACCATTCCAGACAAATACCTGTCAATCTTTTCTTTAAAACCTCCAGTGTTGGAGCAGTCACAACTTATGAAAGCAAGACACTCTACTGGTTAATTGTTCTCACTGTCAGGAAATTCCTCCTTAGTTCTAGGTTGGATCTCTCTTTAATGATCTGCCCCACCCACCCCCGTTAACTTCTGAATGCAAAAAATATATACAAACATCTTGGTGCCAAATTGAAACCCTGAAATTCAAGTTCATTTAACTCACCCTTGCAGAAAACCTTGGTAAGAAACCACCCAGATGCACTTCACAAAGAAGTGACTCTGGGCTACACTAGACCCACAATTATTTTGAGGAAGCACCAGAGAAAAAAGCCAATGACTCATACGTATGCCTGCACACAGTGCCTCAAGTTTGCATTGCGTGAGTAATATGCAAAACCTGTTTGATAAGAAACGAATGCTAGATAAAAACCCATGCAAAAAAAACCCAACCCCCCCAAAATACACGGAATATGGCGGAATTAGGCACTTCCGCTTTCGTTTCCAGACTTCTGAAAAAGGAGGCAACTTGGATATATTCAGGGATGACGCCCATCACCCCAGGCTGCAACATAGCCAATGTTACAACGTTAGCCATTAGCTGTCTACCCTGCTGGGGATGATAGGACCTAGGATCTAATCCATCTGAAGTCCATACCTGGAATACTGCATCCAGTTTTGGTCACTACAATACCCAAAAAAGACCCAAAAATTTTGAAAAGAGTGCAGAAAAGAGCAACAGTGATGATCAGGGGACGTGGCTAAAACATACAAACAGTTATAGGAACTGGGTATGTCTAATTTAATTTAGTTTCCTTTATTGTCATTGCACCCCGTACAACGAAATTAAATACCATCTTCGGTGTACAATTTATGACTGAAAATAAAACACAAACACACCTCCCTCACACTCTACACATCGAATGGAAAACCCCTGATATTGCATGGATATTTCAGTATACAGTAGAATTCCATAGAGTTACTGCCCTGGGATAGAAGCTCTTTTTTCAGCCTGTTTGTCCTTGTTTTTATTGTCCTGTACCGTCTGCCAGGTGGTAATAGTTCAAAAAAAAGGGTGCCCAGGATGAGATGGATCTTTGAGGATGTTTTGAACTTTCTTAAGGCAGCGGGAGCTCTAAAGCTCTTCCAAAGAGGGGAGAGGGCAACCCAGGATCCTCTGAGGGGCAATGACCTTAACCCTCTTGAGTGGTCCTATCTGCCATGCTACAATTGGCAAACCATACACAGGTGCAGGAAGTTAAGATACTCTCTGCTATACTGCTATTCAAGGCATTGAAATCTTTATGTACATTGGCCTTAAATGGAGAAGAAAAATGTCATGCCAGCCATTTGTGTGTCCGTGTCTGTGCGTGTGTGTGTGTGTATGTGTCTAGCTCCGTCAGCTGAATTCAGAGCAATTGTTCCATGTAATAAAAAACTGATGACTTTGGGTGATTGGCCAAAGAAACACAAGAACAGCCACAAAGGAACAACGGATCTCTTGTGAAAAGCTGACCCATTCAAGTTTCTGCCTCCATCCACTTCCTCCTTAAGAACCCGCTGTTGCAACTCAAATCTGACGATGCATGCCAGATAACAGATCATCAGAGTTGGAAGGGACCTTATAGGTCACCTAGTCCAACCCCCTGCACAAGCAGCAGACCCTACACCATTGCTGACAAATGGCAGCCCAGTCTCTTCTTGAAAGCCTCCAGTGATGAAGCTCCCACAACTTCCGAAGGCAACTTCTGTTCCATGGGTTGATTGTTCTCACTGTCAGAAAGTTTCTCCTTATTTCCAGGTTGAATCTCTCCTTGGTCAGTTTCTATCCATTATTCCTTGTCTGGCCTTCGGGTGCTTTGGAAAATAGCTTGACCCCTTCCTCCTCCCTGTGGCAGCCCCTCAAATATTGGAAGGCTGCTCTCCTGCCTCCCCTGGTCCTTCTCTTCACTAGACTAGCCAGGCCCGGTTCCTGCAACTATCCATCATATGTTTTAGTCTCCAGTCCTCTAATCATCACTGGTTGCTCTTCTCTGTACTTTTTCTAAAGTCTCAACGTATTTTTTAATGTGATGACCAAAACTGGATGCAGTACTCTAGGTGTGGCCTTACTAAGGCTTTATAGAGTGGTATTTGTACCTCCCTTGATCTTGATTGTATCCCTCTGTTAATACAACTTAGGATTGCATTGGCTTTTTTGGCTGCTGCTGCACACGGCTGGCTCCTATTTAGCTGGTTGTCCACCAAGACTCCAAGATCCCTCTCACTGTTACTGCTATTGAGCCTGGTTTCACCCTGTCTATATGTGTCCTTGTGGTTTTTCTTGCCAAATTGTAGGCCATTCCAGACACAGAAGGGCTCTTGATGCTCTCTGAAGTTGGTGGGGTTATTTTTTTGCACACGTTGTGCACTGATGATGTTGTCTAGTTGGGTTATAAAACGTTTGCAAGAAAACCACCAGGCTCAGAGAGGACCCAGGACTCCACAGTCATTCTCCTCCTCTTCCTCTCCACAAACCCCACTCCCTTCTGGCACTGATGGGGTTATCGAGCTGGGTCACATCTGCAAGAAAACAGCCAAGCTCAAAGACCATCAAGGATTTCACAGTCTTCTTCTTCCTCCTCTCTGCAAACCCCACTGATGATGTTCCCTAGTTGGGTCATGAAATGTCTGCAAGAAAACAACAAAGATTAGAGAGCACTAAAGACCCCACAGTAGTTGTTATTGTTATGATCTTCTTCCTCTTCCTCCTCCTCTTCTTCTCTTCCTCTTTTCTTCCTCTTCCTCTTCCTCCTCTTCTTCTCTTCCTCTTTTCTTCCTCTTCTTCCTCCTCCTCTTCTTCTCTTCCTCTTCCACCTCTTCCTCTTCTCCTTCTCCATCTTTTCTTCTCCTTCTTCCTCCTCTTCCTCTTCTTCTTTTCTTCTTCTTCCTCTTCCTCCCCCTCCTCTCTGCAACCCCCACTCCTTTCTAGCACTGATGCTGTTCCTTAGCTAGGTCATGAAAGGTCTGCAAGACCCCCAACCAGGCTCAGAGAAGCCCAAGGAGCCCTCCTTTCAACCCCTGAAACATTCTCTTCTTGGTCGGGTCTCTCTCGCTGCAAAAAAAAACAGGGTCCCGAAGAAACGGCTTTCTCTCCACCCACCCCACTTCCACCAACCCCAGGACTAAGCCAGGGCCACCCCTCCCCAACTCTCCGAGGTTGGAGAGGTGCCACGGAGGCACTTACGGCGGAGAAAGACGCTGTGCGGTGGTCCACCGTGGGAATTTGCAAACCTCGGCCGGCCGCTTCCGCCCGGCTCAGCAGCGCTTCCCCTTTAAATGGCAGGTAGGCTCTGACGTCACCCGCCCAGGGGGGAGGGGGGGGAATTCCCACCTTGAGTCATTTGGGGCTTTCCCCGCCCGGCTCCGGACGGCGGGCTGGCGGGCACCGGCCAGGAAGGTGCAGCAAAGAAGCAAATAATAAGTAGATGCAGCAAAGAAACAAATAATAAATAATAAACAGATGCAGCAAAGAAACAAACAAGCAAATACATAAATTGGCGTAGGGTTCCCCTGCTTGGGCAGGGGGGTGGGATAGATGACCCTCCCACGGAGATCCCTTCCAACCCTCTTAGTCTTGTTAAATACACAACCACACAAAACAAGCCGGAGGCGCTTATAGGGGCTTCCTGGGCTGGAAGGGAGACGGCGGCCTCCTTTCTCGGTGCAAAGGAAAGGAGGCCACGGGGAAAGCTTTGGCAAAGCGGGGATTGGGAGGAGGATTAAAGAGCTTTTGGGCTTGGCAGGAGCCGGGTGAGGTGGGGGGGCTGGCACTCCACAGGGAAGGGGGGTTGGGGGTTGGGAAGCGTGCATTTGCAACAGCTCTGCAGCGTGGTCCCTTTTTTCAAAGAAATACATAAATAAATATGATTATTAATTTGGGTTTTTCCCATCGCAGCTAATTGGATGAGCTCCGTTTAAAATCTACCCTTCCTTTAAAAAAAAAAGAAGAAGAAGCATGCAAGAGGTTGCTGGAAATTTATAGGGTGCAACTTCAGCTGCCACCCCAAACTTTCAACCCTGAATTTTGGGGACACGCCCGCGGGCGGCAGGTTGCAGTTTCACAAAGAGCTCGTTTCTCTAAAGCGCCTCTTTTCTCTTTGGCCGAATACAGCCCGAAATAAATCCAGGAGGTAGTAAGGACTAAAGGCCTCTTGCAATACCTCCTCACGCCCACGAGCGACCTGCCCTTTCTTCTGTATCCAGCAATAAGCCGTCGTCTGCAAGGGTGCGTGTGGGCACGAACGCTTTCTTCCCAGCGCCCAACCCGGACACGTGTATTATTAGCTGTT